AAAAAGATAAGGTTAGTGACTGAGAAATAATATTAGAAAATTTAACTTAATTATTAAAAAAATAATATATATAAATTATGATAATATATATAGCATGTAAAATACAAAGAAGGATAAAAATCTCATAAATATCCATCTTATTTATCAAAAAAAGAAACAAGATAAATTAGTTTCCGCATCGCAGTCCTGGTGTCATGACCCACATAACATCTTTCTAAAAAAAAAAAAAAACTTGAACAAGATAAGCATCAAACAGGAAGTTAATTTATAGATGACTTACATGATTAAATTTCAGGCAGTCATACTTTGGAAGAATAATATCAACTTTATGCCCTAAATCCTGAACAGCACGTGACAGACTAGTAACAACATCACCTAAGCCTCCCACCTGTAACAAGTTTCGAATGATTAAACGGAGAACAGAAGATGTGGAGGGAAAATACATCAGAAAGAAAAAAAAATGTTCCATTAAATCAAGGATTTCCATTCATTTGAAGAACCAATAGCAGCAATTAAAGCTTCTTAATAAACACACATCATCGCCATTAGCATTATCCCAACTATTTGGGAACGGCATAATAAATCCTAATTTCATTCATTTTTATTAAGTGTTATCTAAGGTATTAGACACTCTAGAGCTTCTCATAAGCATGCCAACCTACCTCCATGTCTTTCAATGGCTCACCGAACATGGTGAATATATAAAAACAACTATCAAAAGAAAACAACCATGTATAATGAGAAGTTTTACTATTCTCTACACAAGATAAATTAGATCTAGAAGTCGATGATAAATAATTATGACTCACTCGTAAAAAACTAAAAATAATATAATTCAATATTAAGAAACAACTTGTACATCAATAGCGTTCAAAAACTAAGAAAGTTTTGAGTTTTCATAGCTAAGCTGATGTCATATGCATCTTTTAAGTATGAATGATACCCCAATTATAAATTTCTAATAGGTGAAGTTATTGAGAAAATCGGGAATTGTAATTATATCCCTGCATTTCAACTAAACTGCAAGTAGGACATGAATTCCTTATTTTTCTGAATTCTTCGTATTGGTCCGTATACTCTCCAAAAGCCCATATGCAGATCCTATCCATTACAGGCAGCAGATTCTATCCATTAACGGTGGTTCAGTGACAGAATTACACTGCATAAGCATATATTTATGTGTTTTAGTCAGAAAAAAAAAATTATATATATCATCTAACGTTCTCATGAATTGAAGCCAATAAAATGACCAGTTTGCAAACAATAACGAAACATATGACCCTCTTTACTGACTTCTGAGAAAACAGGGACATAATTATGAGTCCAGTTAAAACACATGGAGCTAGTTGAACAAATGATTTCCTTACCAACCCTTCCAATCTTTAGTTGCCTTGTTGCCAACTTTTCGATATTCATATTTTAGCTCAAATGCTAATTGATGTAGATGGGTAATGTTGAATGAACATTGGGTGATGTGGTAGGGTAGGCCAAAAATAGAGTAATTATTTTTAAATTTTCCTAAGGAAGATGTCAAGGAATGATGGATTAATGAGTGATGATGAAAATAGAGATATTAGACATACTAAAGAGGAGAAAATTATTGAGAAGATACAAATATATTGACCCTCAGTAAAATACCATGTTTGGTTGAAAGATTTCAAGCCGACAATCTAGAACCCACCAAACAAAATTAAAAGAAAGAAACATTTATAAATTTTGATAGCAAGTCAACTAGTTTATTCATACTTATAAAAGTATTTACATGTCCATCACAAGAGATAAAATTGAAGGGACAGATTTGGGTAGTTATGGTTGGTTTTCATGAATGTAGCATATAAGAAACATATTTTCAAAGTGTGGTCATCCATACATGAAGAGAAGTCCAAAATTACTTTTAAACTACCCAAAATTGAATTTGAATTTCAAATTACACAAAAAAAAAATTTAAAAAATAAATAAGAACAATACAAAATTCAAATTATATAATGCATCTTGACTTGGATCGATCTTTTGATTTGTTTTCATAATTCTCTTCATGTGCTACAACAAAGTAGGCAAGGGCTGAAACCAAGCCACATAATTATTCTTTGTGTGCTCTCCTCTTTCATTTATTTTATAGTGCATAGTTCCTCGATCCTAGTAACACTTCTGCATCAAGTTTTAGCATTCTCATTGCAAGTAGAAAGAACAAGCCCTTCTAATTTTCATATACTTTATATGCATTAGATAGACCTCCCAATGAATTGTAATTAATTCCTTTTCGTTAACACTCCCCATTAAAAAACAAAATTGGATAAAAATTTGTTAACTTTTTCGACAGAGTGTAAAAGGATGGAAAAATGACAACGCTATCACAATTTCTCTTAGGCAAAGTACACAACAGACTGTAATGAACATTTAATATTTTATTTTACCTTGGCAATAGGCGCCATTTCTATAGCCACATGTATGATGTTCAGTGGTGCTACCTTAGCAATTCCCCCAATAACAGGAATATGGTAGTCCATTCCATTTTTATTGTCATAAACACCACCATCTTCCCTCTCAGAAAAAACAAAGTCCATTATGTAAGCATCTAATGGAACCTTAACTGCAAAAAAAAAAACCAAAAGAACATGGCATGTTTTTCAATCTCAGGGAAGTAGGGCAGCAATGACTATGAAAGCTTCACTTTAAGTAAAGAAGTTTTTCCTTGAAAGCAATCAAAGAATATCATTCCAATTTTTTCATAGAAACTTAAGTCACATTTATTGGAAAAATCAAACAGAATTTTTTTTTAAATATACGATCAAATCCCAAAACATGTCATGCATGATAAGAAACAAAGATATAAATATATAAAATATCAAATCATTTTTATAATATGACCAAGGTTTAAAATCTCGTTTTCCCCTTCAAACACCGCCATATTGTTTTAGACATTTTGAAAGTTTCAACAGTAGGTAATCAAGTATTGCCTTGATCTTATGATATGATACAATTTTTTAACAGGTTTAAGTAATGATATATCTTAACTCAATTAGTACTCATTTTCTAAATCATTATCAACATCATCAGTGTTGGCTTTATGAATCTCCATTCTCCATTCCTTCCTGTAGACCGATGCCTGAGGTTATTTATGTTTCTAAATATTTAATAAATGTACAGTTCGTTTATTATAACAATACAAAAAAAAAAAACGTGCCTCATGTTTAAGGTAATAGCATATTTCGTAAAATCATTGCGAAACAAATGTTTTCTGAGACGAATGGAAAAACTAACAATTAAAAACACAAACAAAAGCTTAATAACTAATATACTTAGTTGCTTAGACTAGCATTTTACCCCATGAGAAGCTGGGATGATAAAAAAATAGCATACTATAAGAAATAAATAAATATTTCTTATAACAATAATATTTAATTCTAAATTAATTATATGAAATAATACAAACGTAGAAGAATTCATTAAATTATATTAAGATAATATATTAAAAAATATGATAAACTGAATTATTTATGATTTGATGTGTTTCTAAATTTATGTAAACCTACCAAATTAAAAAAGTTAATTTGTATTGACATTTTCACATTCTTAAAGTAAAATTAATTTAATATGCAATAATCTTAGTGCGGAGAGCATATTCTTTCTTACCCAATATATAACAATATGTAGACAATTTAGAAAGAAAAAGAAAACAAGCCTACACTAAGACATGAAAAATGTACACAGCATTACAGCCGTTGACCAAAAAGTATAGACGAGCATTATAACTTTCCTTACGTGCTATAAACAACTAGATTTTGGATTCAGGACCTCCATTTATAGCATTTCCATACACGCCAAAATGTTCTAAACTATCAAATGGGGCTATTAACAAGATTCGCAAAGTATTGTTTGAATATATAACATAGATCGACTAAATTCTACAGCAGGATTTGTAAACAGGAATTTTGGTAAGGAATTCCAGTTAAAGGAGAATACTAGAGAAGTATAGAAAAGAAGTTAAAAAGAATTTATCATTGATTATATGCAGAGAGAAGGTTACGAGGTAAATGATTATATATGTATGGATTGATTTTATACAATTTATTTGAGTAATAAACTTTAGTATATATAGAATTAAAGAAATGATTTGTAGGTAACTTATAATCGTTGAAGGGTACGAAGTAGAGAATTGGAGAAGACAACTCGGCAAAGAGGTAAGTAATGCAAAGTTTTAATTAAAGAATATATAGTATCATCGTAGCAACGTAGACATATACACGGAATTTTAATGACAATGTAAAAAGATAGTCTTTAAACTCGATGATTTCAAATTATGCATATAACAATCAAGTATTCATGTATGAGACATCTTTGGCAAATTTGAGTGAATCATATTTAGGGTAAAGTATAATATAAGTATTTAAAGATTTTTATAGCTGAAAATATCTTGGAATAAAGTTTTATTCTCAACATATGACATATACAATTTTTTTATACAAATGGTATAACATAAATATCATGATGAAAGCATGTAAAAAATATGAATTTTGAATATGTGAAACATAGTGAATATCAATTTAAAGTAAAGTTTAGCTATAATACGATGTATAACTTATAATTGCAGGTATAGCAAAAAGGTTCATATATATATGACACTACATTGTAAGTGAGGTAAAAAAGATCCCAAAGATATGATATCTACATAGCATGTAAGACAAAAGGGACCCCTAAAGAGTCAAAAGAGACCTCAATGTAATTCAATGGCGATAATGTCAGATTTACATGAGCTCCATTGAACATTCTTATGAAAGTTAGTCAAATTTTTAAAAGACTAAAATTGATATTTAATATAGACTTCAGAGAAAGTAAAGACTAATTTTTAATATGATTTTATGATGTTTTACAATTAAAGGTAAGTTTATTCAATTATGCTTTTAATGTTGCAATTTATTTTGATTATTGTATTTTAACTGTTATTTAATTTACAAAACTTATTGAGCCTTTATTGACCTGTACTTAAGACAAACAAAACAAAAAAATATAAACAACATACCTGCTCTGCCCCATTCCCCACGATCTCGGCACGACTCGCATGATGCACGTCGTTGCCCACATCGCACGACCCCTCACCCTGCCTCGCTCGTCATTAAAAGGAAACCCAAAGGGAGCCTTCGGCCGGTTCCCTCTCTCCCTCACACGCCACTTATTCATCTCCTTCGGGCTGTACGACTTCGCTCCAGCGTCGACTTCTCCTTCCCGATTGGATCGGAAGTTACGACAGTTTGATCGGAAGCAAGAACGGCAATTCGCTGGCTGTGAAGTAACTTTCTCTCCTTTTGCGCGCTTCTTCGCACACTCCCTGGCTATTCGACTTCGCTCTCGATGACTTTCCCTTCTTGCGATCGGAAGCTATGACATTTTGGTCGAAAGCAACACCGGAGCTTGCTCACTGTGGTAGCAACTTTCTCCCTCGCGTACGCTCCTTCGGCTCCCTTCTCGTTGTTCGACTTCGCCCCTTCGTCGACCTTCCCTGCCTGTCGGATCAGAAGCACGAACGGGAGCTTGCCCGTGAAGGTAACTTTCATCCTTTCGGTCGCTTCTTCGACCAGATCCTATAAGTCTGCCGAGCCGTAGAATTTACGGTAAAGAGAAGGAAATGGAGGATTTATCCCGTCGTGAGATTTACGGGCGATCGAGCCCGATTTGACAAGATTTAGCATAAATCCTACTCAAATCCAGTCATAAATCCTGTGTTCTTCTTTGCTTTTTTATTATTATCAATAATTAAAATTAATTTTGTTTAATTATTACTCCAAAGCATATCCAAGAATCTGAACCATCTCCTGGAAATAAGGTAAGCTCACCACCTCCCTTATACCCTATAAACAACTCTATATCCTTCAACAATTTCTCATCGTCACACAAAAATTTCCTTGTTACATTAGAAGATATCCATATTCCTAAAGATGTTTCTGAGGCCTTATCTGATATAATTGGAGAAATGCCATGAAGGATGAAATGCAGGCCCTGGAGAAGAACAAAACATGGGAGATCATCAATCTACCGATAAGGAAAAAATTGGTCGGCTGCAAATGGGTGTTCTCAGTAAAATACAAAGTTGATGGCACACTAGAGAGATATAAGACAAAACTGGTGGCAAAAGGGTTCACTCAAACATATGACATTGACTACCAAGAAATATTTGCGCCTGTATCCAAAATAAATAATGTTCAAATACTACTCTCACTAGCAGCCAATAACAACTGGCATCTAGAACAATTGGATGTGAAAAATTCATTTCTACATGGGTATTTAGAAAAAGAGATATTTATGGAAATACCACCAGGATTTAAAGAAAAATCTGAAGGTAACAAGGTGTGCAAACTGAAAAAAGCTCTATATGGGCTCAAGCAATCACCAAGGGCCTGGTTCGGAAGGTTCTCTAAATTCATGCTCCTGAATAGGTATCGACAAAGTCAAGGGAATCATACACTATTCTTCAAACACTCTGACTCAGGGGGAGTCACAATATTATTAGTGTATGTTGATGATATTATTTTAACTGGAAATAATGAAGAGGAAAAAGCTAGTTTAAGGAAAAGTCTTACTAAGAAATTTGACATAAAAGAACTTGGTAGACTAAAATATTTCCTCGGAATTGAAGTAGCTCACTCCAGCAAAGGAATCTTTATTTCATAATAGAAATACATCAAAGATCTTCTAAGAGAAATAGGTAAACTAGCCTGTAAACCAGCACCAACACTAGTAGAACCTAATCTTAAATTGGGGGAAGCTAAAGAAGATCCAGATGTAGATAAAGGGGACTACCAGAGACTTGTAGGGAAATTGATCTACCTCTCCCACACTAGACCAGACATAGCATTTGATGTAAGCATGGTAAGTCAATTTAAGCAGAATCCAAAGCAAATTCACATGCAAGCGGTAGACAGGATATTGCACTACCTTAAAGGAAGACCAGGAAAAGGAATTCTCTTTAAGAGAGATCTTGGAATAACCCTAGAAGTATACACGGATGCTGACTACGCAGGATCACCAGTTGATAGAAGATCTACCTCGGGGTATTGCACATTTCTTGGAGGTAACCTAGTTACATGGAGAAGCAAGAAACACAATGTGGTGGCAAGATCCAGTGCAGAAGCAGAATATCGAGCTATGGCCTTCGGAATATGTGAGCTACTATGGATCAAAATAATCCTAGAAGATTTAAAGGTTAAGTGGGATGAGCCCATAAAACTACATTGTGACACAAATCAGCAATCAGCATAGCCCACAATCCAGTCCAGCATGACAAAACCAAGCACATAGAAGTGGACAGACATTTTATTAAAAAAAAACTAGACAGTGGTCTAGTAAGTGTTGACCAAGTATCATCAAAGGATCAACTTGCAGATATCCTTACTAAAGGATTGGACAATTCTGCCTTTCTCCGAATGATTGACAAGCTGTAAATGACGGATCCATATTTCCCAGCTTGAGGGGGAGTGTTAAATCTCAACCTCAGGTTCCAAAAGAAATCCACGGCTGTAAACAGTAATCCGTGGGAAGACTACCTGGATTGTATTAATTCCTTCCATTGATTTAGAAATAATTGTATTCTCATTA